TGCGAGTGAAACCTTGAAAGCACGCGAGATCAGGATGGTCTCACGAGGCTATCTCTAAACATGCTTGAGCTGCAAACCAATCAACTGGGAGAAAATTTTGACTCTCTTTTATGTGTGTATTCGATGTACATCAGGGCTGGGCGACCCGGCGTATTTCTACGTAGCCTGTATCTTCCTGCTAAATGGAGCAATGATGAGCCTGTTCTTTATATACGGCACCTACCTCAGGTAAGTTAACCTTTGTCATTTGCTTTGCCCCAAAGAATTAGGGGAAAAAAAATCTCAGTGTCATTTAGTCAAATAATCTTTCTTTTCCTGACAACTTTTAAGATTTAAAAACTATTTCTTCCATCTGACTCCTGCTCTTTTAAATATTTGTTTGTGTTTATTTTCCAGTGGAAGCCGATTGGGTGGAGTTGTCACCATATTGTGTTTTTTCTTCAATCACGGTGAAGTGAGTTTATTTTCTTTACCATATTAAAAAAAATCAGCACCAACCTTTCTGAGCAGATTAGAAATGTTTAAGTTTCAGGTTGAAAAAGCAGTTTATTAAACAGTGGGACTGCTATGGTGGGCTATATACAAGATTGAATAGTTAAATTTAGCTCAGAGCTTTACATGAATATTATACTTCTACCAGTTGTTTTTTTTTTTTTGAAAATTAGCTGCTGGTTAGGACATTTTATAAAGTGTATTGAGCTTTTTTTTTTTTTTCTGAATGTCTGAAAATAGAGCACTCGTGTGATGTGGACTCCACCCCTGAGGGAGAGCTTTGCCTACCCGTTTTTAGTCCTGCAGATGCTGCTTCTCACCTACATTTTACGGTAAACATACAAAACAGTGGGTAGAGTTATTTAATATCAGGTTCAGAATGTTTTTTATCATCATAATAAGACCCATCGAGGGCAGCATGTGGCCCCAAGAATCACACAAGTTGTTTTTTTTTAATGATTGAACAATAATTCTGCTGAGTTTTGTCAACTAACATCAAAATATTCATATCCTTTATACTCTAGACTAGGGGTCACCAACACGGTGCCTGCGGGCACCAAAGGGCCCTCAGGAACCGCATGGGTTTCCCTCAGTGTCTTCTAAAAATAGAACAACTCACCAGTGGGCTGAGTTTGAAATTTTATTATATTCAGTTTTTCTTTTTTTGATAATTTATCGAGCATGTCTAAAATAAAATTAGAAATTAAAAGAAACAATTAAAATACTTTTATAATGCACAAAGTTAGATGAACGCTGGCCCTCAGCCTTAAATAGGTTGGTGACCCCTGCTTAGACATTCTTGAACATCCAGCTGCTTCCATTTCATTGGACCCTTTGAATACCATCTTGATCATGTTTCCTGGATCCATTAGTCACAATAAATTGGACCACATACCAGCAGTAGTTTGCAGGTTTACAGTATCCTGGTTTGTGTAAGCTCCATATCTCTGAAGAAATGCATTGGCAGGGACCTTAGAGAAGCAGAAACCATGCTTTATTTTGAGAAATGTAACCTTCCACTGCATCCCGCTCTGCTGCAAACTCAATATATAATCAAAGGAAGTATTCATAAACAGCCTCTGTAGGACGGTGCAGTGTTGGGTCAAGCAGACAGCAAAGTGGAAAAAATAAATAAAAAAAATTTTTTTTTTTTGCCTGACAGCTTTAAACTTAGAGAAATTACCCCATCCCAACAAGAAACAGAACAATTACAGCATCCAGATTCTTAAAACAGTTCCCTAAAGGCAGCTAGACTTATCTCGCTATATTTATAAAATTATCTAAATGTGTTAGAAGTTGCACACATTAGAGCAGGCATCCCCAACCTCGGTCCTCGAGGCCCGCTGTCCTGCAGGTTTTAGAGGTTTCCCTGCTTTAGCACAGCTGATTATAATGATTGCAGTAGACCAAAAGCTTGTTAATCAGCTTTCAATTAAAATCAGCTGGGCTGGAGCAAGGAAACCTCTTAAACCTGCAGGACAGCGGGCCTCGAGGACCGAGGTTTGGGATGCCTGCATTAGAGTAATTTCTGGCCTTTACATATTAACTCTGGTAATCAAAGCATAATGATCGAGCATTAAATGCTTGAAATTATGCAACCATTATAGCTTCTTTACACTTTGTGTACTAATCCATTGTAAAATATAGCCGGTAACAATTTTAGCATGAAAAAAAGGGGAAATGAAGCAGGTTTAACAGTCTTAAAATCAATAGGAAGAGTTGTTTTGGTCTCACTTCTGCATTTATCACTGGCTTATATTGTGCAGTGTTCGCATACTCTTTGTCAGTCCCCCCCAGGGATTCACGCCGCAAGGGAGCCGGACGTAGAAGAACATCAAGGGTTAAAGACAGGATTTGGACAACTATTAGTGCAGCAACGTTCTGTGAAAAAAAATTAGCTGGACATATCAGAGAGCTGCTTATCGTGTGTAAATGGAAAGCAAACTGAACTAACCCGAGCTAGACACAACCGGACCGCGCTAACTGTAGACCAGTTCCAGAGGTGGGCTTGGCTCAGTTTTTCCCTGGCTCGGTTCTCTGATAACAAGAGCGCATGAGCAGAACGCGTCATCTCCGTCTGGCTGCACATCCCGATTCACACTCCATTCCAGTAGTTGGTGGTAATGCCCCTCCAGAAGTTGCTTCCCAACAAACACAAAACAGAAGAAGAACAATTATAAACAACAATCGAAATCTTCTCCACGCAACATTTTGATTTGCTTGATTCCCTCCTTCGTCTTCTTCTTCTTGTGTTTTATGGCGGTTGGTAAACAACTTTTGGTGCATTACCGCCACCAACTGCTTGATTTCCTCCTTCAATACTGGCAGTAATACCACAGATCGTCACTAGGAGGTGAAAAGTCGAGGAACCAAGATAGCGTGATGTGTAAACGGTCGTCAGAACCAAGCTCGGCCTGATTAAAGCTACAGTGTGTAATTTTTAGCGACATCTAACGTCCAGACTGCAGACCGCAGCAACATGAACATCTCCCCCCCACCGCTTCTCCCCCCCCAACAGTACGGCGAGCGTTACGGGACAAAATGTCTTCCACGACGTCCGCATCACCTACCTTCTCAAGTGATGAGGTTTGTTTACATAGATAATTTTACAGATAGTATTCTCAGGCATAATACTGCCATCTATTGTTCAGTACCGTCTCAGTTCATCTCTCTCAACTTGCCGTAGTTACTTTCGAGCGTAATGGGCGATCTCGCAATCGCTAGTTTGTTGGCTCTGCGCTGCCATAGCGCAAAGATGTCTGCCTCCATGGCTGCGAGACCCACTCCTATGTAATTATAAATAACGAATTCTAAGGCAATGCAAATATTAAGGTTGAGAGGCTGAGCTCGTAGATGATGATAAATAACATAGTTATGTATAATATATAAGTATAATATATTACATTTCTGACTGTATATCCCTGTAATTATTACACACTGTAGATTTAACTGATCGAAGCTCGGACCGGTCTCGGCATGGATCGGTTTTTCAAGGGTAGTGTAAATGGGGTATGTGTTTCATAGAAAAGATGCAGAAAATGCAATGAATTCTCTGCATAACTCTTTCATATACACAAACTGTACTGTATATACATACATTCATATATACATATGCCTTCATATACCCACAGTTTGTGGGGGGGGGGTTGTCTGTCTTAAATAATAATCTGAGATGGGTTGTGTGTTTCCTCATACAATTGGTTCAATTGGTTATATGTCAATAATTCTAAAACCTGATCAAGACCAGAGCATCTTTTTACTCTTTGATGACTAAAACAGACCAAACAGCAGAGTGCATTCCTTTTTGGTGGATGATTTCATTAATACTGAGATGGTTCTAATTAAGTTGTCCCTGTACACTCCAATAAAACCCCTTTGTGTAATGTTCCACAGTGTCTCTAACTATATAACAGCTTTTGTGCTTCATAGAAACAAAGTTCTGCTCCGGTTATCAGCTAAGTGGCAGTCTGAAGGAGGCTCTTAGAAGAGCCAGAGCTCTTACCGCAGCGAAACATTATCTTGTCATGTCGTATCATCTTGTGAATAACACTTTGTTCTGGTGAGACCTGTTAGGAAGCTGTTCCACATTCGCTAAACGGTAAATGTAAAATGGTCTCTGTTCCATATGTCTAACACACTGAATTATGAGGTTCAGTGGGGTTTTTTTTCATGCTTTTTAATAGAGCCTTCTAATTTTTCTTTTTTCTCAGGCATCTCAATGCAGCTTTCCTTATCTCCTTTAGCCAAATGGATTCTCAGCTTTATGCTGTTTTTTTTTTTACCTCCCGTCTCTCTTCTTTCAACAGCACACAAAACCCAAGCAGGACATCCATGGTCGCCCTAGGCATCTCCAATTTATGCTTCATGCTGCCTTGGCAGTTTGCTCAGTTTGTGCTCCTCACTCAGGTAAGCAGGATGATGTAGGCAGGCCTGGTCGATGAAGGAGAAAACTTAAGCTGTTAACAAATACTATACTTGACACTGTAGTGAAGTGCTGTCAGCAAGCATGAGAGAAACTGAGTAGGAAGATGGCAAAGGAGAAGCTAAAGTCAGGCAAACAATTAGGTGTTACACAAAAAATCATTGATGGTGATTTGCCTTCCTACTGCAAGCAGGAGAAAATGTAAAAGGTAATAAAAATGTTCTTTGCGTTGTTGATGGAAAGTTTTGCCTACACCTTGAAGATTTCTCACTCCGGTTCTTTTTCCTGAGAAGAGATAATTTGGGACAAACTCTTTAAATCACACATTATTATTTATATCTATTAAATAACCATGAGACATGACAGCAGATTTTGATTGAAATTGTAATCTTACTCAGATCAGAGAAGTTGCTTTGAGTTACAGAAGGCAGCTGCTTACCAGCCGGGCTCACGTCTCGTGAAATGGCCACGATTCACTGTTAAAGAATTATTTTATACATCTCCCGTCTGCAACATCATCACATCATTACATCATACTTGTTATCAAAATATTACTTTGTTCTTAGCTGAAGGACTCTGCTCTCATTCTATTCCCAAATCTTTGCCAGAATGACGATGATACCTGTATATCTAGACAGAGGAACTGTCCAAATTAGATAAACTACTGGGGAAAACAGTTCTGAAACACAACAGGCAGTTAATATTTGGGTGTAATAAACTCATACATCATCAATGATAATGATCCTAATAGCGTTAAACTGATGCCTTCAAGCTGTTCTGTGAGTCTGTCAGACTGGGCCTCAGTTTCAGCCTGTTTGACTCAATATTCTAGACTTTTACTCAATAAAAGCTATCAGCTGCAGAAGATATATGAATCCTTTAATCTACTGCTTTAAAAAATCTGCTTGTGAAACTAAAATAAATGCTCAAAAACATTCAAGTCAGATTCAAAAGTTTAAAATTAGAGCATAGGTTGAAGCGAGGAACAGTTGAGTATTTTTATTAGAGCTGTTTCTATGCTAGGATGTTAGCTAAAAGCCATTTTATTTCCACTGAGTGTTTCACTTTTGAAAGCCACTTATTAAATTAGCTTCATCCACTGCATACAAAATCAACTCAAAGCCAAACACATCCACCCACTCAGATGGCTCACCAGCCTGCAGGGAATAAGGCGAATGTTTTTTTGAATATAAATCAAGACTCACAAGCTTTTACAGATAGAACTGATCTTAAAGTTGGCCTTTATTTAATTGAGTCCCTGAATTATGTATCTAAACAGTGGAAGAATCCTTCCTCTGAAACTCTGTCAGGTATCAAAATGCCATTTTTATTTTCCTACTTCTACTGCTGTTTCTTTAAAATTATGTAACACTCACATAAAGAAAAAAAAATTCTAATTTTAGTCGATGATTAGTGGTTGAGTCAATGAACTTCATTTTTATGGAAGATGAATAAATTATTACATCAATCTTCTTCTATTTAGTTATCAGAAGAGAAAACTCGTGCATCCTTGCATCATTTTGGAAGACCACAAATTATTTCTGGGCCAAAATGGATGGTTGTTCTAGGAATCCCTCATCAACTAAAACAGTTTAAGTTAAAGTAAAACCAACAAAAGGGGGCTGCAATCCTTCCTGGTCCACTTTGAAAAAGAGATTTTTGATCTCAAGAAGGGTTTTCCTTTATTTTCAACTGATTATTACTTTTTCAAAATAGTATTTTTCATGTGGAGAGTGTGAGCTCCTTACCTTACTCAACCTGTATGTCACACATAGATGATTTAGACCACCATATGCCTGACATATGAAAAATCTGGCAAAAATGCTCGTAACTTTGGAGAAGTTATGGCTCAATTTTATATAAGCTATGAGCATGCTAAATTACGCAGAAGCACGTTGGCACACGTCGACATACGGCAAGGATGTATGCCATACTTGGGGCCATAAGTTACAGGTAAGTTATCTGATCGTTGACATACGTTAATTGTAAGTTACTCATAGGTCGTGGCGTCTAGCCTATCCAAAACCTATGAGTAACTGCATAACTTAGGCATAACTTCTCAAGAACTTATCTCCAATGCATATCAACGTATCTGACGTGTTGCAGATGACCGCTAAACGTGTTTCTAACTTGCGGCTACTGTATAACGGTGTGTTGGCAGCGTTTTGATATAAAAGGGGGTTCACAGGAGGAAACCATCAGTACTATGTGAGTGTGATGGATCCTCCCTGCGTTCACGGCCACGGCCAACAAACTTGCAGACATGACGCTTAATCTGCTGAAAACGCAAACACTCTTTCTTTTTCCTTTTTATTTATTAAATTTTTCCTTTTTTTTTTTTTTGATTGGTGGCAAACACCACCAAGGAAATACTGCGATCAAATGAATCTTTTTATGCAGGCCAGGCGCATCCAGGCGAATCCCTGCTCCCCTTAAGGCTGGTTTATACTTCGAAACTAGTTTGTCTGCGTAGGTGTCGTGGTGAGTGCAGAGACGTCCTTGCCCCCTCCGCAGACATTCTGCTGCACCACTCCCAAATTGTAGGTGACCGTAGACAGTGCCGCAGACACTGTGGCGCCCCTTTTGCGTTGTAGCATTAAATAAACATAACGCAAACCACGCTTCAATTTCAAGCATAATTTAAAAATGTCTGTGTCATACCTGCGACAAGCTCACTGCAACACACTGCTGCAGGAGTATAACCAGCCCTTTAGGACGGGTGTTGCGCCAATGCCATTTTTTGGTCCCGATACCTGATACCTGGCTGTGTAGTATCGTCCGATACTGATACGATACCAATACCATCTGTTTGAAATTGATGTGTGTGTGTGTATATATGAAGAACTGCATACTACTTGGATGTAAAATAATTGCCATCATGACTTTGTCAAGCTGCTGCCTATCTTTGTAGAGCAGGATAAAGACTAATACAAAGTGAATCCAGTAGAACTTTTTATTGCCTACTTGGAATGGGTGACAATAGTTGAACAAACTTTTGGCTCTCAAAATCAGTGCCCTATTTGTTGGTACTTACCAATACAGATACCACCACATTAGTGCAGTATCGGGGCCCTGCCCGATACTGGTATTGGTGCAACACTACTTAAGACACTGGCTTGTGACATTTCATGGGCACAACGCTGCCGTGCGTTATTCATAAGTTAGGCTGGACATAAGTTCTAGACTCGTTATATATATTTGTAATGTATATGCCCAAAATTGAAAAAATACGTAGAAAGTTCAGCGTATGCCAGCGTTTTAGGAGATTGTGGGACGTCAGGCATACTCTGGCTAAATCGTCAAGGTGTGACAGGGGCTTAACGTTCTGATTATACAAACGTCTTTATAGTAAAAACGTCAGAAAAAAACTACCAGCCCTGATCTGGTGGAACCAGCAGTTTCTGGTAATCTTAGGTCATAATTCCTCTCAAAATTTCCAAACCAGACTCCAACTAATCCTAACTAACAAAAAAATTAACCATCAGAGTACAATTTTATCTTTAGTTCAGTTTTCCTTAGAAAATAAAAAGTAGTGTTACATTAGATAAAGTAAAACCTGCTATAATGTCATCGTACAGCTGTAGCTTTATAGAAATGGACCTCCTCTAACCTAACTTTCCCAGCATGCCCCAGCATCAGCACAGTTTATAACAGAAGATATAGGAAGGGAAATCAGACAGGAGCTTGGTGCTGTTTCTATACCAGCCTAGAGCTAAATCCTGAGCTTTTCTTTGACTCAAAAAAAAAATTAATTGAACTTTACGTACATATGTTTTGTACGTTTCCACCAAGCTATATTTCTGTCAAAAAAATACACAAAGCCCCTTATCTTCTTTACCCCGACTGTATCTAATTCATTGTCCAATGTGTGGAAATTAGTATGAAAAGAAGTAGCCAGAGCTCTTCTCACTACAGCGTCTCTCCCCCTGACTCCCTGCAGCCAGAGCTTAAACCCATTTGCATCCTTTGCAATGCATCCTTGGTAACATGTCCTTGACAGGGAGGGGAGTTTTTCTTATCAAGAATGTGTTGTTTATTTCTACTTTTAAGTACTTTTGAAATGCAGACATCTGTTAGAGCAGCTTCATATGACTTTAATACACGAAACTACAAACTTTCCTCACACATCCACCAGCTTTAGCAGTATTTTCATACCTGTTAAGGATGTGCTGTAAAACATATTTATCTGATGTTGCCGAAGCATAATTTCACGAAAGTATATAATAAGTCTGAGCACAATAACTCACTTTGGTAAAAATGGCACATCTGACACTGGGGGCCAATAAATGTGAAGGCTTTCTTACAAGCAGTTGTTTTGCTTAAACAAATCCTTTAGCCTGACCGGTTGTGGATTTCTTTAAGCTTTCTGCCCTTTTTATGTTTCAGGTGGCTTCTCTGTTTGCGTCCTACATCCTGGGCTACCTTGCTGCTGCAAAGATGCAGTCTATCCTTGTCACTCACATGGTACAGTAATTCCATTGCTCTATCTACATAAATCATTGGTTTTGATATATTTGTGGATTCATCTTCTGATATAAACCAAAGTATTTCTGTGGAACTTAAGATGCACAAAGCAAAACTGTTCTCAGCTGTTGTCCACCAAGCTGGGATGTTTTCCAGTCCAGTTCTTATCTTAATAAGCTTCACAGCAGAAAGAATATCACATAAGACGAGAACAGAACCAGCAGACGCTGGGATGGGTTTCTTCAACATTATTAATATCTCCACACATATACTGTTCCCTTTTACTACAATAAGCCTAGAAAATATGGGGAAGTAACAGTTTGTGCCTCCGGTCCACATTCCTGTCGTCCTAATCCTCAGCCTGCCGGGCTCTTAGCTGCAGTCTGTGGCTGCTACAGATAAGGAAAAGCTCCTTTATGGTAAGATTGGGACAGGAAGGCATATGGCTGTGCATAATTTAGAGAGCTCGGCAATGACTTTGGTTTTGTCTACTTAAATAGAAGTGACACAGTTTGACGTGTGTGTCCTCTATGCCGTGTTGAATGCTTTTGATATTGATGAGAGCTACCCTCTGAGGTGATGAATTTCTAAAGGTAAGTAGGTACATATATCTGACTCCTGAACTTTAATAATAATATGGTTATTTCAAACTGAAAACATTGAACCTTTGCAAGAACAACATTGGCTCCAGTTATATCTTTTTTACAAATAAACAAAGCACAGAAACAAAACCCATTTTCCAGTTAGGCTGTTTAGTTAAGTACGCAGTCACAGTCAGTACAGGTATAACGTCCTTCCCTTGACGTGCTTTTCAGTCGACATACCCTCTGTGCACACGCTGGAGGAGCTGCTGCTCTGCTCCTTGTGCCATTGGCAGAGAAAAGCCTTCTCAGGTTGACCCAGTTCCTGCTTATTCCTACTGAGAGGGAGTAGTACACACCATTTTAGGAAATCTTCAATTTCTAAGCAATTTCTTGCATGGAATAGCCTTTATTTCTAAGAACAAGAATTGACTGTCGAGTTTCAGATGAAAGTTCTATTTTTCTGGCCATTTTAGCATTTAATTGACCCCACAAATGTGATGCTCCAGAAACTCAATCTGCTCAAAGGAAGGTCAGTTTTGTAGCTTCTGTAACGAGCTAAACTGTTTTCAGATCTGTGAACATGATTGCACAAGGGTTTTCTAATCATCAATTAGCAATGAGCAAACACATTGTACTATTAGAACACTGGAGTGATAGCTGCTGGAAATGGGCCTCTATACACCTATGTAGATTTTACACCAAAAACCACACATTTGCAGCTAGAATAGTCATTAACCACATTAGAGTGTATTTCTTTAAAGTTAAGGCTAGTTTAAAGTTATCTTTATTGAAAAGTAAAGTGCTTTTCCTTCAAAAATAAGGACATTTCAATGTGACACCAAACTTTTGAACGGTAGTTTATATATATGTATGTATGTATATATGTATATATATATGTATTATGTGTCAATAGCTCTTCTCATTTACAAAACCTAATCCACTAATCGTACATGTCTTCATCAGCGGAAATATGGAGCCCCTCAATTCTCAGCAACCCCAGTTGATAATCAGCATCTGTGTAATGGAGAGTGATTCGGTTTTCTGTACTTCACTGGAATTAAGTTTCAGGGATTTGTTAAATGAGATTATTTTCTGCTCATGGCTATGAATTCATAGCATAATACATAGTTAGATCCGTTACTATCTCGGAACGCAGCAGACCACCCTGCTCACCCAGGCAGAGATACTATAATACATGCTGCTCAGACCGCTGGAAACAGAGTATGTAGTAAAAAGAAAATTATGGGTAGTAAATTATCTGATATATAGCAACGTTTTTAAAGAGAGTCACATAAAAGGTGAAAGCCATTCACATCTCACCTAATCACCATCTTCAGAGAGAATTTCAGCTCCTACAATCTGGTTACCGTTTCAGGACCAAACAGATGGAAGAAGAACCTTTATTATTTAAGCCATAATTCATGTAAATTAAAATGTGATGAGCTATAATTGTTCTCTCCCACTTCAGTCTAATATTTTAAGTGATATTTGCACCAATCTTTTCTTATTTGAATCCTGTCATTGAGCGATTGTGTTGATCATTTTTCAGCTGTAAAGCAAGTTTCCCTACCTGATCTGTCCTGAAGTTACACTGATAAGCTGTACCTCTCTTTTGTGTTTACACTGGCTGTTGGCAGTGAAAGCTCAGATTTCAATAGGAGTTAAATAAATATTTGTACTCTGTTTTCCTCAGGTCACGCTGGGGTTCTGCTTCATCCTGATGTTTGGGAACTCAATGCTTCTCACATCTTTTTATGCCTCTTCTCTCATTTCCATATGGGTGAGTTTTTCATGTTCTGTGTGAACATGTCAAATTAACCAGATGTGCGTTTATAAAAATCTGTATTTTTTTATTCCAAGGGAGATTCAAACAGGTGTTTGTTGTTTTTTTTCCTCCCTGTTTTAGGTCATCATCGCTTTAAGAGATCGGTTCATCCAGTTGTTCAAACCTGGCATTATCATCTGGGTGAGAAGAAATAACCTAATGCTTTTCTTGTACTCTGATGGATTAAGCATATTTTATGTGGTGACACTTTAAATAGAATTACATTGTGCTTACATGAAAAATAGAAAAGCCAAAGCTTCAAAGTTTTAATTAAAAATCATTTGACATTACCTGGTCTTTTTTATTATAGATGCATTATATATTGTGCTTTAATTTGTCTGGAACAGTTTGTCTTTTAGAAGTTTTTTTAAACAAAAATTCACAATCAATATATTATTTTACTAAATTATCATCAGTAAACTTTTATTTATTATCACCTTTTCATTTTTGTGGTATTTTAATTACCACAAAACTGAATTTATATTTTTTTCTTTAATGGGAGAGTATGGAAACTTTCAAGCCCACCTGAATGCCAACCTCCAGTGTAGATGTGTTAAGAGCCTTAAAATGTGTTCATCTTTACTTAGCAGTATAATCTAAGATTGATTAAAAACAAATAAAAGAAGGAAATAGAAATAAATCCCTTGTTAAAGGAGAATTACGGTTTTTAACACTTTTAGCCCATTTTCTATAGTGTCCAGGATGAAATCGAATAATCGACACCAAAATTTTGACAATTGCTCCTGTCTCTGCTTTTTGGCTCATGCAGAGTCCCCCCCTGGCTGCTTCAGAATGGCTTTCATAGTGCATGTCCGATAATGTCCTTAAAACAACCTTAAACGTTCTTTTTTTAAAATATGCTACTCACCGGGTCGTCAGCGCTGTTCAATGACGTTCCAAAAAAAGTTTCGTAAAGAAAAAACGTTCCTGTAGTGTTTTATTTAGCATTTTGTAAATCCCATTGAGTTCTGTAGGAATAGTCAATATTCCCCTGCCACCGGAAACGGAAATGGGGCCTGTTTACACAGTTGTAGTCTTTTCGCTTCACTCTGTGTACTCCGACATCGAGGTGCTAACGTCTCTGTTAAACACTTTAAAAAACTCTGAAAATGGAATACTAAAGGTGGATTCTTGATTCTCGACGTCGGAGTACACAGAGTGAAGCGAAACAGGCCCCATTTCCGTTTCCGGTGGCGGAGGGATATATTCCAACAGAACTCAATGGGATTTACAAAATGCTAAATAAAACACTACAGGAACGTTTTTTCTTTACGAAACTTTTTTTGGAACGTCATTGAACAGCGCTGACGACCCGGTGAGTAGCATATTTTAAAAAAAGAACGTTTAAGGTTGTTTTAAGGACATTATCGGACATGCACTATGGAAGCCATTCTGAAGCAGCCAGGGGGTGATTCTGCATGAGCCAAAAAGCAGAGACAGGACCAATTGTCAAAATTTTGGTGTCGATCATTCGATTTCATCCTGGACACTACAGAAAATGGGCTAAAAGTGTTAAAAACCGGAATTCTCCTTTAAACTGTAATCCTTTGTGCAACAATTAGTGACGTCTGCTGTTAATACTGGATTTTATATGTTCAACAGTGCCTTTGAAATAAATGTAATCTAAGCTTATTTTAATAGTTCACATTTTCATCAGTAAATCAGAGTTTATTAGAACTTAATTGGTACTCTATGGCTACGTTCACACTGCAGCCTGAAGTGACCCATTTCCAAATTTTCTTTTCTTTTGTCCTTTTCATGGAAGTCAACACAGATCTGATTTTTTTTTTTTGTCAAATGCTACTCAGAACACTTGGCTAAATCCGATGCACATCTGATCTTTTATGTGGCACAAAAATGCAGAGAGATGTTAATTTAATAAAATGCCTACAGGTTATCATAGTAGTCGGTAGTATTGGTAGTAATCGATCTCTTGGATTATGTTAAAACCGCTTATTTTTTCTAAAATTCAATCCTCATTTGACCATAAAGATGTTCTGCTCAGGATTTTTCTTTTTTTTCTTTTACTCTCATCTGTTTGACTCTTTTATTATTTCTATTGTTTTGGTGTTTGGGGAGGTTTCTTACAGGCTTACAAAGGGAGGTGAAATGATGTGAATTGTATGTGACACAGAGTCTGTTATAATAGATTATAGTATGTTATTTATTAGCTTACCTAGCTTAATCTTATTACTTATAACAAAAGGACTTTGATGACTAGTGGATGATAAATACTTTGTGTTTCCATCAACAGGTCATGCAGGGTCTGGCCTGGGTCGGCTCCACAGTTCTGCTGAAATTTCTGCTCTCCACTGTGTTTGGTGCCTCTGATGATGTAAGACACTGAAGTTTCATGTCTGAATACTGCTAGTGATGTTTGGACATTGTATTGGTATATATATATCTATATATATATATATATATATATAGATATATATATGTATATGTGTGTATGTATATATGTATATATATATATCCACTTAAAACAGTAATTTATTTCAAAACATGATCCAAGTATACACTTTGAGAAGCTACTGATGTAAACGTTTAACCTTTGTAATGTTTGACGTAGGAAATTGTTAAATTAAGTAACTCAGGTGATTTTTCAACCCATTTCTATGTAAAATCAGGTAGTTAGGCAGAGGAGGCACTTTCTGTTTTAAAACAGATGCATTATTTTTCCTTCCTCCCAGGCTCACATCAGTGGACTGATCAAATCCAAATTCACAAGTTACAAAGACTTCCACACTCTGATGTACACCTGTGCTGCTGAGTTTGACTTCATGGAGTTTGAGGCAAGACAAATGGAAATGTTTTCTCTCACCAGAGCCGTTTTTTATGTTTCTGCTACTGAATAATGAAATCTTTGATGGCAAATCGCAAGTCCATGCTGCTCAGTATAGGCAACAAGCCGCGTCAGTGGTTGTTAAAATGTCACCAGGATTTCTTTACAGATGTCAGAAATGTTAAAACGCTTGCTGCTTCCTGTCAAACTTCAGATGGAACAAGATTTGTGCTGACAGGAAACAAAAATCCTGGCAGCACAACTTGACAGCTTGTTCTCAGCTGAGCTGTGAGCTGAATGATCTGATTTTGTGTGGAAGATGTGAAGGCAGCACAGAGAGGCTAATGCACGCTTTTCAACTTGACAAGTATAAGGATGAAAGCAGACTCACTATTATCTACCCGATTTATATTGCTTATGTCCTTGATATATAACACAGATGTTAGCATTTTTCTTCTTTTTCTCAGTTTTTCCTCTAATTTTAAGTTATTTCCTCAAGAAGTGAATGTAGACTCGTCATCAGCTTTTTAACCTTTTTAATTCTTTTACGTGTTCATTTTCAAATCCATGAATTTTGCTGAATAATATTTCCGGTCTCGTCCTTCTCCCGCAGACGCCTGTCCGTTACCTTAAAACGCTGCTGCTGCCCATCAACCTGCTGGTGGTCGCTCTCATTGCAGGCAGGGTGAGTTCTGCCACACGAAAAGAACTTTGAATAAGTTAAACATACATAAGTCTTGCTTATTTAAAAAAAAACTTGTTACATAATCCTCTTAAGAAATAAAACTTTACTTAGATGTTTATTTAAATGTATTTACATGTTAAGCCACAAGTCAGGATTTTTTTCCCTGTTTCCCTAACTGGATCCTAATAATCGCATGTAATAAAGCTTTAAGCATTGCTGAGCTACGGTTTGTAGTTTGACTAGAATAGGTTCTTAAAATAAATTAAAACAAGTGGCTGATGGCGGCATACTACAGCAGAAATAATGAAAATATGTTGATTTAGCCAGTTAAAGTGTATATATTATCGATAGATATCCATTAAAGATTCAGTTTTATATTATATTAAAGATGCTGATAAGAATTTATGTTTGATTAGATGTTCAGTTCCAAGATCTTAACTGCTTAGATCTCGAAATCCAGAGAGAAACTATTTAAAATAAAGATTACATATGATTTAAAACTTATTTTGATATTTAAAAACTCCTTTTTTAACTTAAGAAAACAAAACAATGTTTTAATTAAGTGTGTTTGGCCAGTAGAGCACCTCAGATGGGGGTCAAAAACAGCAGGATACAAACTTAAGGTTATGCAGAAAAGAGAATGGTTGACTAGTCTGAGAAATGCTGACTGTTTAGTCAACTTCCAAAGGAGCCTAAGGCACATCGCTTTGTGTGATGAATATAAATTATATAATAATATTATTAGGGGTTGATTGATTCACATTATTTTTTTTACTTTTTAAGGATCGTCTAATTTACTGACATGCACGCATAAAGGAAACCATCAGGTTCCAGTCTGATATTACTGTTTTGCTTGACATTGCAGCAAACAAATTGGACTGAATTAAAACTATATCATATTGCAATTAAATAATCTGCTGTATGTATGCAGAATTACGCATGCAAGATCAGGTGCATAACTAAGTAAAAAGCCCACTCTTACCTTAGGAAGCCAGAGCTACAACCTTCTGTAAAGCAACCTAAAATCCTAAGGAATTAAAGTACTTATCTTAAGGGTGATTGAATGTTTTTTTTTTTATTATTATTTTATGAAGTAACTTGAGTGTGGGATCATGAATTAAGCAATAATACGGTCAGGTCTCACTGTAAACCCCGTACTGTTCTATGAAGCACTTTGTGCTGTCAGCCATAAAGACAAAAACCCTTTTATAGCTCTTTTATACACAACCAAACCAAACTGCTGCAATAAAATAAGCAGCTGATCTAATAAATCCACATGAATAAGGTTGCTCTGCTAAAGCTTTGTTTCTGTGAAAAGGAAACATGTTTTTCAGATTCTTATACCAGCAGGTTTTTTCTTGATGATGAAAAATATGAGCGAGGTGGGGGGTGCATGAGGTGACTGCTTCCTTTAGCTTAATCTTATTATGCCCTACCCACGCTACACTAAGAATACATGGATCATTTTGGCAGAGCAACATAAGCTGTCTGTAGAAGGAGTGTTATTACAAGAAACATCCAATAAACTTCTGCAATCACGACATTAAAAGATCCATGAGTCGGTGCTAACACTCCTAACTGTCCTCTGCAGACTGTGCAGGATTTGTTTCGGACTCTAACACAAGAAGCAAAGACGTCTAGAAAGACGGAAGATGTTGACGAAGCTACAGGGTGAATCCTTTTCTCTGCTTTTGTTTATTTTTATCCTTGTTATAATATTCTAAACATTTCCATTCTGTTTTTTTTTGTGTGTGTTTGCGTTTCTAATGAAAGATTTTGTGTCCTGTGGAAAAGGCTTTCTATTCTCATCTGTTTTTTTTTTTTTTTTTTGCAGGCCTGATGTAGCTGCGAAAGGAGAGGTGAGAAAATGAAGTTTCACATATTATTGTGTTTTATTTGTGTAAAGACTGAGTCATTTCTCAGATCCCATTTATTGCCTTGTTCCGTTTCTGTAGCTCATTTTCTGTAGATTTCAGTTCATTTCTCCTCAGCTTTGAAGTCTGTTCTGTCATGTCTCCCTAAGTGATTTTCTTCCCTGTCATCACTACCCAAAAATGAAAAGCAGTTTGTCCTTTGCTGTGAAAATTGACTCTGCTTCCTTTTTTCCACTTCTCTCCTGGCTGTCTGGTGTAATTTTCTGCTATATTGTTCGCTGTACAGAGAAGATGTTCATCCACAGCAGAGTTTGAGCAGAACTGACAGTGACAAAAGTTTAAAGAAAAAAGCTTATTTTAGTATTCAGCCTCTAAAGTAGTGAGAAAAACTTTTAATCTATTTAGCATTTCTTTTTTATTTCTCCCTTTCCCACACATTTGACCTCCAAGATCCTTGAATAGATTTAGACTTAGAGACTTAGACAGATTTATTTGTCATTTTGTACACCGAGTGTAAACAAAAATAAATGTCGTTCAGTAGATATTGGATTTTAGACAAAATTATCACTGGCAAACCAAAAACAGGGTTTAAAAGAAAATGTTTGATTTGAAAATGAAAACAGAAATCCATCATTGTGTTTAAAAAATGACTTCTTCCTAAACCTACTGACTGGTTGGGCTGCCTGAAGCAGCAAAAAGTGCTTACTTTACTTACAAGGAGTCCTGCACAGCTTTGTGAAGGAACACCTGATCTCTGAAGCTGTTATAAATCATCCACATTAGAAGGAAAAAAAGTTAACCCCTCGTCTCAGCACCTCTAAAAACATCTGTAGTATTCAGGTAAGGACTTTAACTAGGCCATTCTATAATTTTGCTGCTGCAGAACTAAAATTTCCTTCTGTTGATTTCACAAAAAAATATAAATCAGAGATTAGTATTTATTTTTTTGTGCACATTACTGTCAGCGGTTCCATTTCACAGCAGGCCCAGACCATCATACTACCACCACCATGCAGTGCTGATGGTGCCATGTTCCGTTTCTGAAATGCTGTGTTACTGTTGCTTTTATAAGAGACACCACTTCCCCCCAAAAAAATACCTATAAGTGCAGCTATTATTGTTACCATGCCACACAAATGTTTTTTCTCACCACTGTACTATAATTAATTTAAGAGAAGTTACAGCTGTGCTAGAGGTTGTTTGTTTGTTACCTGTTTGCATGAGAGGATGAAAAAACATATCAAACTTGAATTTATATTTCTTATTCAAGTGTATTTAAACAAGTAGTAGTAGTAACAAGCAGTAGTTACGAAAGTTTTAAATAAAAGAGTTAGCTTGGCATTTAAATTTCAATTCAGTTTATTTATATAGCGCCAATTCACAACATGTCATCTCAAGGCACTTTGCAATTCAACCAGATCATACAGACAAATTGATTAAAAGTTTTCTATCTTAGGAAAACCAGTTGATTGCATTGACTCGAATGCTATCCCTCAAACTAAGCATGCTTGTAGTGACAGTGGAGAGGAAAAACTCCCTAATAGGAAGAAACATCCAGCAGAACCAGGCTCGGTGTGAGCGGCCTTCTGCAGAGACCGACTGGGGTTCAAAGAGACAGAAGCAGAGATACAATCATCTCCATCTCTCCAGGATGGTGTCACACAGCCAAACAGGAACAGACGAGGAGAAGCTACTATGAGAAAAAGCAGAGAGAGCAGAACGTTATAGATTAAGTAATAGATTCTGCAGAGTGGGAGAATAGAGATAAAATGAAGCAGAATGATGAATTGGGGGTCCCTATGTCCTCCAGACGTCTAAGCCTATAGCAGCATAACTATAGAGATGCTCAGGATAACCTGAGCCACCCTAACTATAAGCTTTATCAACAAGGAAAGTTTTAAGCCTACCCTTAAAAGTAGACAGGGTGTCTGCCTCACGGACCAAAACTGGTAGTTGGTTCCAC